ATAAGAGATTTCATCCCTAAAATTCCTGAATGTCCACTATGAAATTCATTTAATATCTGTTTTTATAATATGATAGGTATTACTACACTTTGTACAAACATCACATAGCGAGAAAGCATTCAAGTTTGGATTGCATTCTAAAAATTGTCTATCTTTCTTACTTTTTTAGTTGTTTTTTTATTTTTGAAATAAACATGTCTTGTTCTGCTTTTACTTTTATTTCTTCCAGGGTAACTGGTAGTTTGAATACTACATTGCACAATATATTTTTAATTTGTATTTCACATTTTAATGCTGCAGTAGCAGTGTCCTCAAACAGTCCAGTATTTTTAGGTATCAATCTTGATAAACCATAAGCATGTACTAAATTTTTGAATGCTTGGTATTCTATCCTGAAATTGTAATTTAATTAGATAGTACTCCAGCATTGTAAACTATTTGCTGTATGCAAAGGAATTCCTTTTCTTGAATCATAAATTGATAATAGAGGTCAGTGGTCTTTGTTTTTTAAGCATTTCACCCCAAGCAAAGTGGAAGTGCCACTAGCATGCAAGGGGTTACAGAGAGTGAAAGTATAAAGAGAAGGACAGGGATCAAGATCAAGAGTCAGTGAGGCAATAGTTATATAGTTTGAAGAGAATAGCTACCACAGAGTGGTTTGAGTTACCAAGAGGGCAGTATTGTGAAGTTTGGCAAGAATGATGAGAAGAGGTAAGAAATAGATCTAATAGAGAAGCATGTTGCTCGGTTTGGCTAGAGAAATCAGTAGGGAAGTCCACGATCTGAGTGAGGGATTGGGCAATGGAAAAATTTAATGTCTGTATACCAGCAACGTTGGTGACTTTATAATGTTTCAGCCATGTGTTGTGGTGAGCATTAAAAGTCACCAAAGACAAAGATGTTCACAGATGGATGGAGGGAAAGTACCTTTTCTATACTGTCAGCTGTTGTGTCTAATATACTGCAGTTTTGGGAAGAGGGGAAGCAATAAAGGAAAAAGAGAAAGCTGACAGAGTTTAGTAGCAAAAGACAGAAGCACATAAAAGAGTAGTCGGCGACCTCGAAAGAAAAGTCCCTGACCACTGGAAGATTATCTTGTACGTAAATACTAAGGCCATGCATGTGAATGTTGGAATCATTTTGGCAAATGAGAAGATACCAAGAATTCATTTGTAGCCATAGAAAAATTCAAGTTGGTTTCACAGAGGGCAAAGAGTATGCTGCAGACGTTGGAACGGATACCATAAATATTGGAGAAAGAAAGATTGAAGGAGGGGTAAGTGTTTTTTCTGTTAGCTGGTTTAGTTTTATTTCTTTTTGTCACAATTTCCATGAGATATGTTTTGAGGAGAGAGAAAAAAAAAACCTCACTGTAATTGTCACTATCTGTTGTCAATGGCAGTACATACCAACCAGCGTGTAGCTGAGAGCAGAGCATAATGTGGCCTCAAGGTTGCCCACTAGAAATACATGCAGAGAAATCGACCCATACATGATATGTCACTACAGATACCCCTATATTATGCAACTGTTGATCAGAGCAGCCTCTTTAAGCACTACCAAAGAGTTTGGGCTCCTAACAACCAGTTGGAAGCAGCAGCTAGCAAACTGCCAAACCAGTGCCCTCATAATATAAAGTCACAGCCACTGGTTAGTCTGAGTACCAAAGAGTTAAGACAGTTAAATCATTGAAGCCCTAGTAAGAGACAGAAAGAGAACCAGTAAACATATCTTGAACAAGGGATGAACCTCTTCTCCTGTCCAATAGACATGGAAAGAGTGCAGATCAGATGGTAAGTGAACTTATCTACTCTTATTAACCTGTTACAAAAAAATTGGGAAAGAATTCATATTAACTAATGACTTAGAAAAGGTTATGATGTCTACCATCAACTAAAAACTCACAATGGTAAAACTTAATTTTTCAGCATTGATAAATAACAGTGGGTAAGCATATTCTGAATCAAACAGTTTTGGGGAGGGCTGAATTAATAATTTTAATAGTTTATATGCACATAATTTAATGAAGCTAAAAGAGAAATGCGGCTGTTTAAATGCTGTCCAAGATTATGGGGAAATTAATTTTCTTTGCTTCATTATTTTATAATATAACGATAGAGTTCACTGATTCTTTCTTCATTTTTCTGCAAATACTAGATTGGCAAAAAGGTGTCACTGTCTTTCTCTTGAAATACCAAGACAAAGTTAGATTCTAATAGTTTCTTTTCTCACCTGTAGAACTCTCTTCCAGTTTCTTGCTTCTCTACCACCTACATTCTTCAAAAATTTAAATGCAACATCAATCACCATTTTCTGTCTTCCTTAATCCTATCTTTTCTTGTCCTTTCTCCACATTAAAGTTTTCTCTTTTTCTTTCACACCCAGTTTACTCCGTGTGTCTTAGCAGCATTATCACCTCTTTTGGAGTAAAATGATTAAAAAAATAAAAGTCCACATATTTGAACTTATTTCTTTTTTCCAAAAGTTCCTTAAGTTTATTACGTTTCAAGTTCTGATGACATTCCAGAGTATTCTTTGTTCTTAAATTCAGAACTGCAACACTGTATCACCAGATTAAATATGTGGATTATTACCACAAGCACTATCTTGCATCTGATGCATTTTCCCCAGATTCAATATGGAGACTGAACAATGTCAAATGTGCATTTTCTATTTAACTGTAATTTTCATAAAACTAAAATAAAATTGTTACTTTTCCACAAACAATTCTAAATGTGAATGGAATAATGGGTGCTGACCAAAGTTTAAAAATGCTGCTAATATTTCTGTAACACTGTTCCACAAACAGTGACAGGAGCTTTTATTTAAGAATATTAACATAGTGAAAAAAAAGGATGGAATTATTTGCATATGGACTTGCACAGCACTTCCACTTAGGATCAGAGTAGTATCTGTGCATTTTGTATTGGAAAAATGTTTAAATTTTTGGCAATTTTCCTAGAATCAGAATAGTACCTGTGAAAAGTGTTATCACACACACACACACACACATATACTGTAGTGTCCAAAATTAAAGAACAAAAATTAAAATTTTGATAGCTCAAAAAATATAAATCCAATTTTTCTTAAATTTTCCCTAAATGTAGACTAAATGGCAGTTCAGTTGTGCTTTAAATCACTACATTATTTGGAATGATTTTATTAAAACGAGACCTTATTCTCGATTTTATCAAGGACTTCAAGGTAAATATCAGAGGTAGTAATATTCTAAGCATAGATGAATGGTTAACTTATATATATATGTATGATAGATTCTGGAGAGAAAAATTTTCTCACACGACACTGTGAGCCAAATTTCTTAGCAGTTGTTCCAGAAATGGATTCAATATAGGCTTTTCACTTCATGTCAACTGAGAACGTGAGCCTGAGAAGGTACAACAAGTCTGATGGAGGTTTAGCATCAGCCATGACAAAGTGGAAAAATTTTTTTTGATGCATTTTGTCTTTTAGGAGTTCATTGGCTTAAGTTTGTTTATACTGATGCATATGAATGAGAGATGCTGGAAATTTTAAATTTTTAAAATAATTTTTTATATGTTTTGGGTATATAATCTAACCAGTTTCATTTATATTCCTTTTTTTTCCCCAAATTATCTAATATATATATATATATATATATATATATATATATATATATATATATATCTTGAACAATAAAAAATATTAAAAATTGAAATCTTCAGACACACTGGGTTGTATATTAATATTCCTTTGTTTTTATTATTATTTCATTTAGATTCCTCGACTAGTTTTGGCCAACATGGCCATCATCAGGAGAAAAATAATTTTCTGCTTGCTGGTAGTAAAGAAGTGAGAAAGAGAGAGTTACAATGAATAAAGGAATGACAAAAGAAGAAGAAAGTTGAGGAAAAATGAAAGAAAGAAAATAACGAGTGGGGGAAGGAAATGAATAAGTAAATTAGAAAGAGTGACAGTGAGAAGAAAACATACCAATCAGAATGAAAGAGAGAGTAAAGGAGAAGAACAGAGAGGAGGAGTGTGAAAAGAAAGATGAAAGGAATGATGTGTATGTGTGTGTGCGTGTGTGTGTGTGTGTGTGTTAAAAAAAAGAAGTCAATTAAGTTGTGAACTTACCACAGATTTTATCATATGTTCAAAATAGTGACTTTAAATCTAATCATGAGGTTAATTTTTCCCAAAGCTCAACTACACATAAGCCACACATACCTGACCAATTCAAACAAATATACCAAGCTGCACTTACCATGAAACACATTTTAATTGAATTTACTCACTTAGCCCCTGTAAGACATAAATACAATGAAAACATGAGAAAACTATTTCAAATTGCTGAAACTGTCAACATAATGTCCTACCCTAAAGAAATAGGGTTTATACCAAAATATATAAAACCTCCAATAGACCAACTATAAAATATACATCTAAAAAACATACATTTACCATGAAAGTATACAATTATGTACAAATTATCTGTAGTTGAAGCCATAAAATTGTGTGCAAAATATTTTGATTTTCACATTAAATAATCCATATGCCTCTAAACAAAAACAACCAGAAACTAATTTATCCCCCAAAATATGTAAATGATAAAAATTCACTGACATAATCTGTCAGCCATAATATTCTGAAAATTCTAACCGCTTCAGAAAAAAGTGAAGTGAAATAATTTATGCAGGAATTATAAATAACATCAAGCCAAGGTCATAATAATAATAATAATCTTATCCTTTAATTAATTTTCAAATGTCTAAATTGCTGAATCTGTGACCAGAGCCTCAAAATTCTTCATTATTGTGTCAAATTACCCTGTTCTTGGGGATTGCAGAAGAAATGCATGTCTTTGTGAAAGTAAAGGTCATAGTAATGAGATAATAGGTTGGTTTCATATTTGTTGAACAATTTCTCTTACAAATCCGGACAAAATGGCATTTATTTCAAAGCTGCCATACGTCCACCATTTTGTATTTGTATGAAATTGTTTGGATTCCAGGTGAAACTATTGTAAAGAATAGAAATGAAAGAAAGAAACATATTAAACAATGAAATAAAAAAAAAGAGAAAAGGAAAGAAAATGAGTGAGATTAGTAAAGAAGTGAGAAAGAGAGAGTTACAATGAATAAAGGAATGACAAAAGAAGAAGAAAGTTGAGGAAAAATGAAAGAAAGAAAATAACGAGTGGGGGAAGGAAATGAATAAGTAAATTAGAAAGAGTGACAGTGAGAAGAAAACATACCAATCAGAATGAAAGAGAGAGTAAAGGAGAAGAACAGAGAGGAGGAGTGTGAAAAGAAAGATGAAAGGAATAGGGTTTAAAAAAAGAGAGAAACAGTATGAGAAAGTGTGTGTGAGGTGATAGAAATACAGGACAAAGTTGCCAAAGTATAAAAGAATAGAAGAAAGTGAAAGAAAAAAGAATGTAGAAAAAAGAAAGAGAGGTAGAATATATAAGAGAAGAGAGAAAAAGAATGAGGAGTCAGGTAGAGAATGAAAGGAAATGAAAGAGTAGGAGAAAGGAATTGGATTTAGGAGGAGAGAGAAGGAATGAAAAAGAAAAATGAAAGCAAAAAATGGTGAGAAGGAGAAATGAAAAGAGGGAGATACAATTGAGAAAACATAGTGGAGCTTTAAGATCTGGCAATGAGTGAAATGTGTCTGGATGCATTTTGAAGTTTTAATGGCATCTGGTGAAAAGTTCATGTTTTTTTCTGATCTTCTTTCAGTTATATACTGAATATGATTGCAAGAGTAACTGGTGAGATACAACAATGCATTGCAGGTGTTTTAAAATTAAATTATCTATATTACCAATGTATACATTGGATCAATGAATATGATTCATTTGTGTTATGCAAATTCTTCTTTATGTAGACTAATATTTTGTATGTAAATTTCTTGTATGTAAATGAACATACATTTTTTTCTTTATAAATTGAGCTGTGTTCTGAGGAAAGCAATATTATGTGGAGAGACACCAATAGCATTGTTCTGCTTTGTATTTTTTTTGTGTTGAATAAAGCCTTTCTTAAGGTTATTGACATTTTGCCATCCTGCTATTTTGAATTCATAACAAAATGTCTCTTGTAGGCAAGTGATGTGACACTTGAGGGTGAAGGAGTCTGATCTTGAAGATTGAAGAGTTGGTTGAATACCGGACTCATGATTGACTCAAGCTTGTTTCAGATTAGTTCACTGAGAGACCACTGTGAATTACTTAGGAACAGCTTTGAGAGTTGGTGAGTAGGTCCATTTAAGCAGTCAGAGTAGATACATAACATTTTTGTTGTTTTGCTTTAGCAGCAACATTTGTGATTGGCTGTATCATTTAAATTTTATTTTATTTTTGGGGATTTGTTTTGTGAGCAAGATGCAAGGCTCAGAGCCCTGTGCAGAAAATAACTTTTTTATTTTTAATTTTGCTTTTGTAGTTTTCATATTTGACTGAAGTGGAGTGAATCAGAAAGAGATCTAATTTGAAGTAAAGTATAACATTCCTAAGCCGGTCTTAATATATCACTATATCTATATTCAAAATAAATGCTTAATATTATTAATAAGAAATGTATGAAGAAATAATCAAATAATGACACCTATTGCCAAGTATTGATGTTTCAGCTTACAAAAGTAATTGAGAGGACAAGAGAAAATGGAATATAAAACACATAACAAAACATGAATTAATTTGATAAGGACTTTCAAATGTTTAATTAATTCTTTATTTAAGCATTTTCCCCAACAATTTAATCTAAAATATTATGAAGGGAAGAGAAAGAGAGAGAGAGACAAAGAATGTAGAAAAAAGGTTGGGGAAAAAAGAGAGAGAGAGAAAGAAATTAGAGAGAGAGAAGAGTAGTAATCAAGAAATAAATTAGGAGGAGTAATGGTGAAGAGAAGAACAATGACAATCAGAGAGAAAGAGAGTAAAAGAAAAATAGAGAGAGAGAGAAAGATTATATTTGTTTATAATGTTCACCTTGTACAAGGCCCAAGAGCCACTTGAGATAGACAGTTACAGAGTAAGAGGCATAGTTTATAGGAAAGATGATAGTTAACCATAGACTTGAACAGGTTAATATTGTAGTGATCAAGAAAGCATCCTCTTGGGAGCCGGTTCCACAAAGAGAAAAAAGAAGAGAAAAAAAAGGACAAAGAGAGAAAGTATAAAAGTTATGAAAGGAATTGAGTTAAAAAAGGAAACTATGAAGGAAAGTGAGTGTGAGGAGATGAAAGGGAGGACAAAGTTGAAACAAGTTGAGGGAATATGGGAGAAAAGAAAAATGAAAAAGGAACAGAAAGAAAAAAGGAGGCAAGGAGTAGGAGGAGGTAAAAACCATGAACAAGAGAAAATAGAGAGAAAGAACGAAAAAAGATAGACTTGAAGAAAAACAAAGATGAATAAAGAGAAACAGAAGCAGCAGTAATAGCAGCAGAAATAACAGGGACTTTAGTATCTAAACCAACTTCCCCTGTCCAAATGAAAAGACCAGATCTGATCATCATAAACAAAGAAAAGAAAACCTACTAGATTATGGATATGGCTGTATCAGAAGACCACAAGGTGAAGACAAAAGGAAGTGAAAAATTAGAAAAATACCTGGCAATTAAGACATCTATGGAAAATGAAGGTACTCATAATAACTGACACATTTGGAACTAAGTCCAAAAGACCAAAGATTCAAAAACCATCCTGTCAAATAGGAAGAAAATGAGTAACTACTGACGCTAAGGTTCGAGTGTGACTTATGAATATATGTTTTACACTAGGTCTATAAATAGCGGCGTCAAGCTACTGACTGGAAGTGATTATTAAGTGACTATTAAGTGGAACTATCCAGTCGAATTAGTGTGAATTATTGTGCGTCAATGATTTGGGTTTTGATTTAGAATTTACCAGACATTAAGCCGAGCTGTGCTACTAACAAGGTATTCACTGAAATGGTTAATTATCTTTGGTTGACATTTACTTCCTTATTCTTGTTAAGTATTTATTTGCGATTGTAATTAAATACTGTTTTATTTTAACATTTAAGTCTTGAGTTATACTTAATTATTAACGCCCACCATACATCACAAAACATCTAGATGATAAAATTATTATGATTATCTAGAATACTGAGGAGGGTGCTGTTAACTTAATGCAGTGACTTGCTGTCACTTAATCTCCAGTGAAAGCCACAAGTCGCAACTGGTTTGAAAACTCATGACAAAATGGTAACAGAATAAGCCAGAAGCTGTTTTAGAAAATAACCAAATAAATTCAAATAAATTCAAATCTGAATCATAATCTAGGAAAAGAAGACCTTTCAGATTATGAATGTGGATGTGCCAGCAGATCACAAGGTGAAGATGAAAAAGTAGGAAAAAATGGAGTTGAGAAAACTATGGAATATGAAGGTTAAGGTCATGCCCATTGTAACTGGCACACTTGGAATAGCGCCAATTACATTAGAGACAAGAGTGGATAAATTAAAAATATAAGGAAGAGTTGACTATTCAGACTACAGCATTGCTGGAACTTACAAAAATACTAGGCAAGGTGCTGGAGATCTGATGAGATTTGGTGCCACTGTCTCCAGCAATGAACACCAGATAACTGGTGCAAACATGTAAATGCATAAAATATTAACATCGTAATTTTTATTGCTGTCTTAAATCAACAAAGTGGCATGGAGTAAGTAAAACTCCAGTGGAGGTAGGTTAAGGGATAAAAAATAACACGTCTGCTTCTCAGCAACTTCAGTAACCAATATGGTATAAACATGATTGGAAAAAGAATGAATCTGTCTCTCACTCTGTAAATATAGGTTAAATAGCAGAGTATACAGAGCACAGTAGAATAATGGATAGTGGCTTGGATTGAGGAATCTGTGAGCCAAGTTCAAATTCCAGTTGAATCCATTACATTCATTTACGTGTTAATACCCTTGGGAGAGGTATGAATCCTCTTCTCCCCTCCCCCCAGTTATGGGTAAATAGCAGGACAGACCGAGTTCTATAGGCTTGGATGGTAACCGGTCTACCGCAGAAAGAAATGGCAAACTGCTGCAGGAAAAAATCTGCCTCTTCAGTCATGTTGTAGTGGACCGTGGCTGTTTTGTTGTTGAGTAGACGTAGAAGAAACACATGTGGGTTCAGATTTTCCTGCTAGCTGGTCCAACTACACAAGAAAGTTGGAATTTTAATTAAGTCCAAAGTAAACAAACAAAACATAAGACCGATAATATATGTATACAAATATATATATTAATAACAAGTTACATAGAAACAGTTACAAAAGGACAAAGTGTCTGTGAATATTATATATGCACGTGTGTGTATGTGTGTGTATTGTGCTTAGCGTGTTCCCAGCATTTTGGGAAACGCTATCTCTGGTGAGCGTTCACATTTTTGAGGTGGTAAGGCTGAAAGCCTGAGGAAAAAGAGAGATTTACCTCCAGGTGTCGACGCGAAGGCCTGAGCGAGAAAGAGAAAGAGGCGAAGGGTCAGCGGCTTTTTATAGCAGCGAAGAGAGACCCCTGGTGAAAGGGTTAACGAACTAAAGGAGGAGTTAACTCCAACAATGTATCGAAAGATACATGATCACCTAAGCATGTATCATGCATGGCACATAACTGACTGGATACTGGGCTTTCTAGTTTTGGTTGGCAACCAGTTTAAGAGAAGAAAATTTCTGAATTTCAAACTATGGAGAAGGCAATGGGAAACTACACCACTAACTTTCCCAAAAATGAATGGTAATTCACAGATAGTAAAGAAAAGCCTGAGGATTGGATAGTCATGGGGTGAAGGCATCATCTTATTTGAAAATGTAATAAAACTATTTCTGACTGATTACCTATTTACATTAAGCAAATGCAATTGCTTTGTGAGGTATTCAGATATATTTTGAACAGTTTTTGTATATTCTCAGCAATACACAAATAGGTACTTAATCAGTTTAGTGAAGAGCTACTCAAAGAGAAATGAATTCACTATGCTTATAACAGTTTGTGAGACTAGCTAACTACTACATCCTGATGAAGTGTTCCACAGATACCGAAGCAAAAGTTTACTAAACTTGTTTACAATCCCAAGTTATAAAAATTGCCATGAGATCATGCTGAATTTGGTTTTGACTGATTTTAGCTAAAGTTAAAAAGTAACAAAATTCCAGGAACAACTTATCAATTCAAAGTACAACTGATATCAGTCAACTCAAAATTGAAACTAAACTAGTTTACTTCTACCATAAAAAATAACACATACACACACATACATACATACATACACACACACACACACACATATATATATATATATATATATATATATATATATATTGTGTATTTGGGCAGCAATCCTTCTTTTATACAAGTTTTGTTAAAGACGACTGACAAGGTACTGCGATTAAGTTTTTTATTTAATTTTTCTTGTGTTCATACAAGTGTTTTCTTTTCTGAATACAAAGTGTGTAAAAACTGTCTGAAAGTTCAGCATATCATAGCACCTTTGGCTATCTATTTAGCCATTGTAAAAGACAATTTTTATTTTTTTATTTTTAACTGAATGTGTGTCTTTTATGTATGTGTCTAGATTTATAGGAATGTTTTATTTTCCAAACAGGGTCAAGACATTGTGGCCATATTCATAGTTAGATATTCTTGTAAAATTCAGTAATAACACATTCAGCACTTCATTCTACATAAAATTCACTAGAAGAA